GGGGGGGGGGGGGGGGGGGGGCGGCTGCGGCGGGCGCGCTGGCTTCTGATCTGCGGCCGGCGCGCTGCGGGCGCGAGAGCCCAGCACGCCGGCCACTGTCGCCACTGCCACCAGCAGGACCACGGCTACCGCCGCCGCCGCCAGGAAAAGGCGGCGCCTGCGCGCGTTTGCGTCTTCTGCGCGCAGCAGCGGCTTGTCTGGAGAGCGCCTGTCTGCTTTGAGCAGCGCCGTGCAGCCCCACGCCTTTGTCAAAACCTGCTCGCCCGCCACTGCCGTGTCCCCACTTGCCGCCGCACCGCCATTGTGGTGCATGATGGGTCCTACGGCAGCACAAGGTATCTACATGAGCCCATGCCATTTGCAACCAGCCCAGGCCAATGCAGCATTGTCGTGCAGCAGCATCTGCGGCAACGCTCTGCAGCTCCAGCCGTTATCTTGCGCGCAGCATGGGCAGCATCCACCCCGTCGACGCTGCGCATCCTGCTCGTGCTGCCCCCCAGCCGCTGCGCACCGGCTCTGCCAGTCGGGTGGGCTATGTCGGGTCTAGTTTTAGGTAATCACGGTCATCACAGCTCCACCACACTCGTGCAATACGACAGGGCGCAATATCAGGCAATGATGGCCTTCAGCGCAGCCTGCTCTCCCAGCATCGCTGCGGCGAAATATGGCGAGCTCAGTGTAAAAGTATATCTCCTGATCTTACACGTGATGTCGACCCTGAATACGATGTCTCTCCCCGCGTGTGTCCGGTGACTTCATGAGTCAAGTTCCAGTGACTCCAGCCCGTGCAACCGCAAGGCCCATACAGTATGTTTTGAATTTGAATAAACGCCTAGGGTATCGCAGTTTGTCAGGCGAGTCGGCTCCCTGACGCTCGCGGCGCACCACCGCAGTCGAGGGCGACCGTCAATGACCCGTGCGCAGGTGTGGAGCTCCCTTATCACGTAAACCTGACTGTCAAAGTATCAGAGTTGGCAGTAGATGCACTGATTGTTACACTCACATTGCATCCTTCCGCCCTCGCCCCGCCGGTACGCGCTCATCAGCGCCTGCCGCCGGCCGCTGCAGCACGCCCGGTTCTGGGAAGTGCGGGAACGTTCGGCGCTCCAGTCGCACTACCTCCTCCCTCAGTGATGTGATCTCTGCCTGCTGCGCGGCTATGATGTCCTTGAGCTTCCGGGCCACCACCACGGAGCGCATGCGCCTGGTGCGAGGAAGGTGAGTGAAGATCGTGGGGTGGAGAACAAGGTGTGCAACAAGTGGGAGTCAAGGGATGAGGCGCGGCAGGTGGGCGCATTGTGTGGCTGCGCAAGCATGGGGCACACACATACAGCAAGCAGCAACGCCCGAAGCGACACCCCCCTTGCCATCGACATCGGAACTGCTTGTTGGGGCCATCATGCCCCCCACATGATTGACCGTGGGTGATTTTCAACACCATCAAGCGTGGGACTCTTACGGCTAGCTGCATGGGTAGCTGCCGCCCTGTGCCCGCACCTGTCGTGAGGCTCGCTCCTGTGGTCTCCCGCCGCTTCCTGCAGCCGTTCCTGCTCGTCCAATACACGCTCTAGGCCCGACAGGTGCAGCTGGACCTACACGCGCGCGTGTGTGCGTGTTTGTGTGTGTGTGTGTGTGTGTGTGTGTGTGTGTGTGCGCGCGTGTGCGCGTGCGTGCACACGCATGTGTGTGCACGTGTGCATGCGCGCGCGCATGCTTGCATGCGCACTTGATCACGTGGCAGTCATACACACGCCCAGAGACATGCGTACGTAGGGGCGCGACAATACGTGCGGTGCACCCTCCCCCCAAGTCATTGAAGAGCGTGCTCTCAGGAAGCTGAGGCCTTGGCACGCCACCCACGGAACCATCCGCCCCACCTCTGCATTCTGCTGCGCCTTGGCCGAGATTTCCCTCTCCAGCTTCCTGATCCGCCGCCGCCCCTCCTCCATGCGCTTGAGGTGCAGCTCCTCGCGGGTGCGGTGCAGCGCCTCCAGGCTGGCCACCTCCCTGCCTGCTCAAGGGCCACACCCACCGTGGAGCGAAGCTGAGTCAGCACACAAGCAGCACCTCGGTGCCAGCCACGTGGCAGGCCGCGCCACGACAAGATCGCAATCAACCTCAAAGGTGATCTGTGCACCTTTGCACAAGATCAATCCTGCAGCTGCTGTAGGGTGCATACTGCGACCCCCCGGCGCGCACCTGCGGCGTTGGTGTTGGCTCCCGGCCCCGCCTTGACCAGCTGCTGGAAGTCCTTTGTGACGTGCAGCAGCTGCAGCTCCCGCGCCAGCGACGCCACGTCATCCGCCTCCATGTCGGCCCTGCGGGTGAGTATGTAGGTTTTGCTCGAATGATTATGCACGTGTGCAGTGAGCCAGACACAGTCAGCGAGGGTAGGGGTGTTGTGCAGACAGTGGGGATGCCATATTTCAGGCTCTAATAACTGAGCAGCGCGCAACACGCAGCACACGTCCACTCCCTAGCAGAGTGATTCTGGGAGTGCCTGCACCCATGATGGCCAGCACGTTTGACACACCCCAGTGGCCCCACCTCTTGTTCTCCCACTGCAGCGCGTAGATCCCCCGCTTGAAGTCCTTGATCTGCCCCAGCAGGTCCATCTTCTGCCGCCCCTTGGACCTCACAACCTCGTTCAGATCATCGACGATCTTGCGCCTCACCATCACCGCCCCCTCCAGCAGCGAACCCACATCCCGCGGCTCCGCCTCGACCTGCCCCGCCTTCAGCCCAAACCGCACCTCAACGTCCATGCACGCCGCCTGCCGCGCGGCCCGCAGCGCCGCCGCGTTCGAGGTCGCTTCGCCGATCTCCGCCGCGAGCGCGGCCGCCTCGGACTCGAGCAGCGCGGCCTGGCGGGCCGCGCGGGCGGTGGCGGATGCCTGGTCGCGGGCGGCCAGCTCCAGGCGGGCGCGCCTGGCCCTGAAATCCAGGAAGCGGTCCCAAACGAGGGGGTCCAGCGACTCGGGCCGCGCGCTGTCGCTCAGGTGCACCACCTCCTGCTGCCCGCTCCCGCCCAGCAGCGCGGCGCCGCGCGGCGTCCCCGCCGCTGCCGCCGCAGCCGCCGCGCCCGCCGCCGCGCCGGCCGGCTGGTCTCGCCAGAGTGGCGGCGGCTGCAAGCCGGCGCCGCCGTCCGCGGCGGACCCCGGTCCGCCGGCGGACAGGCGCTGCTTGTAGAGCTGCGCCAGGCGCGCCGCTGCGGCCGCGTCGGCTTCCTGGAACTCGCGCTTGAGGGCGCGGTCCATGGCCTTCTCCTCTGCGTGCAGGGCCGCGGCGCGCTCCTGCTGGGCAGCCAGCACAGCGCGCGCCTCGGACAGCTCCTGACAGGAGGTTGGGCGTGTGTGCAAGTGTGTGTGTTGTGGATGCGGTGTGTGGATGGATGGGTGTGTGTGTGCGAGTGTGCATGGGTGTATGTTAGTTTATGTGTGTGAGGGGGTGTCAGGGTGGGACAGGAGGTGCAAGTAAAAGGGTGGTGCAAGAGTTCACCAATGTTAGCGTGCCACACGATTAAAGCTGCAAATAGCGCACACGTTCAAAAATACAGTGGCAGCGACTATAACGATTGGGCATGCACCCAAGTGCACACCTTTTCCACTCGCGCGCGTGCATCTCGCGCTGCCGCCGCGCGCCCCAGGGCCCGCCGCTCTGCCGCGTCCCCCGCCGCCTCCGCCGCCTGCGCGTCCGCCTCGAGCCGCGCCGCGCGGCCCTCCAGGCTGGACAGCTCCGACAGCGCCGCCACCCGCCGCTGGGCCAGGGCGGCCAGCGCGTCGTCAAACTGCGGCGCTGGGTCAGGCAGGGCAGGGTCATAACAATCGTAGTCCACTGCGAGCTGCATTCAAATCGTTGACTCACACAGGCTCAGCTTCCAGAGCAGAGGCGGCAACTCTGTGGTCCGGCTTTTTGAACTGTGCAACCCCGGCTGCAAGTGGCCCTAGCAAGCC